AAAAACATAAGAGTAAATGAAATTTTGTTTCCTCAACAATTGGGATAACATTAAAATTATTACTAAAAAAAGACAAATTTTTACAGTTATTTATGTGACTAGATTTACAACATCAAAAATTCATGTGCACTGCAATCGCAGTTTAAATTTGAAATGAATAGAGCAATAATTTAATTCGACTTATTCTCTTCTAATAACATTGACAGTTAAGCAGAAGAATGAAGTGCTCGCTCGATTTTATTTTGTGTGAAAAATATTCACCATTCAACTGATTAGAGACAAAGGAATTGTATGAGTTTCCTTTAATCTACCTTTGTATCAGAAATACTTAGATAGAATAAATCACGAATTTAAAACAAAAACCTGCGTTGAAATTGACAAAACGGTATGAGATTCTATTTCTACCAATCACCTTAAGCAACCTATCCAAGTTTTTTAAGTATAGTATTGGTATTGGTTTTGTATACTTTTTCCAAATTAGTCATATTCTTAAATATTTAGCAATAAGTTGTATTTACTTATGAAACTTGCTTAGTTTTCATACAGTCTATACAAATAGGCGACAAACTGATTTTTTTATTTATAATACTCTCGTGAAGAAAATTCTATATTCATTATAAGGATAGTACGAATATAAAATGAAAACTGAAAAATAAGTATAGAAATTTTTCAAAATAAATCTTTATTGTTTTTTAAGGATTAATTGTTATCCTTGATCTTTGTGACGTAATTTTCTCTTTTATTTTTTGTACTCTCTTTGTATATATTATGCAATAGACAGGTAAAACGAAATAATATGTAAAATTTTATATAAATCCTGTGTTTAAGGATAATAGAAGAACATGTCGTGCCGTAAGCGAAAATTTTATTCCAAGAATGTTTCAAATTTTTTACAAAATGTTCCTAGCTATATATTTAAATTTTATATTTTGATTTTTATTTCCTTGAAATATGTAAATGAAAAAGTTCAAAATTTTGTGAATTCTATTTTTAAAAATATAAAAGTACCTATAAAATTTGTAAATTCTTAAAATGTATACTTATGTAATAAAAGTCATATATCTGTTAAGAGTATAAAATTATTTTGCTTAAAGAATAAATTAACTCTAGTCAATACAACATATCTACCAACTATGTGAATTTTCGGTGTTCTTTCCTCTTATAAAACTTTTTCAATATCGAAGTATGTCATTGCAACCTATTGATTTCACAATATGCTACTAAAATTTAAATTTATTTTAAACCAAAATAATTCAAATTAAATTAAAAAATAATGCAATTGAAATGAGTTTTCATAAAAATAAAATTTTTATTTCTTTGAATTATACTCTTAAAACTAAAGAATAAATAACATTAATAAAATGCAAAATAATAACAAATCGAAACTTCTTTCATCGATTTATTTATTTCTCCCATATATTATTAAATTTGGTGATTTGCAATAAATTAACCACATTTAATTTATAAAATGAAAATTTTCTCAAGTTCTTTTCTTTAATACTTGAAAATTTCGCTTGTGATTAATGACTTTCGTTCGTGATTAAATAAATAATACGTACTGTATAATTAAAATTCAATAAAACAAATAAAAAATTTAAGAAAACCATCCTAAATCCACACTCTTCAATATTACTTACAACATTAAATCCATTATAAATACTTAATAAAAAGTCAATAAAATTAGTTTGGTTTGCGAAATTAATTAAAGGAAAAGTTATTGGTTTTGATTACAAAAAAAAATTATTTGTTTTTTTTTTTTTGCTGTATTTTTTTTTCATCGCGATTTGAAATTTTCTTCTTTCAATTTTTTATAATGAAGGAAAAACACAAGCAATAAAATAATCGAAATTTTTCTCTTTAAAAACGTATGTTTTGGTTTTCAAGAATTTTCATTTTTATTCTTACGGATAAAAAAATTTATTTATTTATAATCGAATAATTGTTTCTCCGTCGCAATTATTTCTTCCATCCGTTTGTATAAAAATATGAGTTTAACAGTTAAGCGTTGCAATATTTCGAGTATAATTATTAGAGTATAACAGTTATATGAGTATAACAGTTATTCGAGTATAACAGTTATACAAGTATAACAGTTTTTCGATTATAATAGTTATTCAAGTATAACAATTATACGAGTATAATAATTATTCGAATATAACAGTTATACGAATATAACAGTTATTCGATTATAATAGTTATTCGAGTATAACAATATTTTTTTGTGTAATTTTTTATAATAACAAAAAAAGTGAAATATCACAAAAAATATAAGAAAAATGTAATGAAAATTTTCGGCTGGAAGTTGAGCGAAATGTTGCCGTGATCGGCTTTTAGATTAGATTATAATACTTTAGGTTTATTAAGGTATTAATAATATTTGAAATTCTTTTAACTTTGGACGCAAGTTTTTTAACTATATATGATTTTTAGTTTAAGTGCTACTTTTCAATAGCGAATGAAAAATACTTTAAAGGAATAAAATCCTTATAATTTTCTTTAAGTAATTTTTAGCCTTTTTTTAAATATCCTATAGTTATAAGGGAACAGTACTCCCAATTTCGATGTAAAATTAATAATTCCAAGAAATTTTAGGCAAAAAACGAATAAAAAAGAAATCTTACAAAAACAAAACACAATTTTTTTTTAACTTTCGACAGGATATTTGTGGTAAAATTCAATTTTTAATGTTAAATTTTGTAAAAACATAAATCGATAATTAAATATGAAAGGACCAATTTTAAAAATATTTACAAATTTTCACAACTTTATATTTGCTCTAGTAAAAAAAAATAAAACAATACCTTTAATTTCTTAAAACATTCACAGGATCTTTTTTTGGCAATTTTTTTCTCTATCACCAAATTAGGTACCTCAATACCTATTGAAATCTTAGCATTACATTTAGAAAATGTTTCGGCATTATATTCTGCTTTTTGAATGTGTTTGGGAACGGAGAAATAAAAATCTGAAGAAGATACTAAAAATGAAAGAAACTACTTTACTTTCGATGACCACCCCAAAGATCTGTTCAACATCACATTATAATACAATAATATTTAAAATAATTTTTTTCAGATTTGTAGTCAATGATGGATGACACATTCGAGATGCCAATTGAAGTCAGGCTTCATTTACCACCGGAAAAAGTTTGAAAGTGACTCTAAGGCAATATTACAATAAATATTTTAAGTAAAATTCTCCCAACATGCCTGAAGATCTCGTACAACATTTGTTGTATGATTCAGATAAATCGGAGGGAAATAAACTTATAATATTTATTAAAAAAACAAATAGGCGACCAATTTCAAGAGTTCGTCCATTTTTTTATTTAAAACCTTTTACCAAAAAAATACTGTGATGTTTTTTCCATTTCAAACAAGCAACTGTAAGTTGTCTTCAAAAATTCAGTTTAAATACAAAATGTGGAAAAGATCCGGAATTTCGCAAGTACATTAAATTTATTTTTTGCTTTATCAATTCTGTATCTATATGCCAGCGAAAAGAAATATCAGTTAGCTTCCAAACTATTTGTCCGGCAACTCATTCTTAGCTAAATATTGAAATGCCTCAAAGTTCAGTAATTCTCTTGACAAATCGTCACACTGAGTTCTTAACACAACTTTTACAAATCACTTTTAATTCACTTCCTTCTTCATTATAAACATACTTCCTTCTTATATCTATATAAAATAAAACTTTCAAATATAAAATATTTTTTATTTAAAAATTTTCTTGATATGTACGTATATACATACATAATATATATACATATATGGATTTAACATTTTTGTCCTAGATAAAAACGACAATGATTGATGAATTTTCAATTTGAAGGATAAACAAAGAGAAAATTGTAAACGTATATACATAAAATATAATTGATAATTTATTATTTCCACAATTTAAAGAAACCAGCCCCTTAAATTTTTTAGCTAATGAACAAATACATATGATCTATATTTACATATATATATTATGTTTTTAGTAGAGACGGAAATGTTCTGATTCTAACACTTTCCTTACAATTTTCTTAATTTTATATTGTACTTCTGGAAGCGAAAAATTAGTCATGTGTCAAACGCCCGAATGCATCGCGTAAATCAATTTAAAATAGTATCCAATTTTACAGAAAAGCTTTGAATTAAATGGAATCCCGATGCTTTAATTTTGCATATTGTAAAACAAAACGAATAAACTTTCAGGTACCTCAATAACAATCATAAAAACTTCAGATGAAGTCTTTTGAAGACTCTAAATTATTCACAATATATGCCATCTGTTATTATTGATTGAATTTATTTAAAATGCTTCAATACTCTACAAGTCCTCCTTTCATTTGTTACGTCTTTCATTTGGGAAATGTTTCATTTGGTACGTCTTTTAATAAGTGAAAAAATTAAATTTTCATTCTTTACAAGACACAAAACAAGAAAAATAATAAATTTACTAAAAAAATTTCAGGAACAAAACTCGCAAATAGAAAATTTTATAAATCTAAATTCAAGAGAAAATTTTAAAGAACGGAAATGTACACGTATTTTCGACACTTCATAAAAAATAAACAAACGATAAAAACGTGTTTACTATTAAAAGGATTTGCCCTTCATATTTAAAAGGCTTTCCAAAATAATATGTACTAGAAGTTTTTACTTTTAATGCAGGAATTTAATTCTTTAATACAATTTAATGCTACTATTGAATTTACTATTAAAATTTCTGTATTCAAGTAAGTTGCTTCTTCTTTTTAGGAAAACGATTTATGTTATATTAAAAACACTGTAAATTTAAAATTAAAAACAATACAACAAATAAGTAAAAAAATTATTTTTATAAGTGAAAACCAAAAAAACAAATATAGAAGCATTTATTTTCATTTAATTATATAAAAATCTCAAAAATATGAAAATAACAATTAGGAAAAATTTGAATATAACAAAAAAAACAATTTATATAGAAAAATGTTTTTAAGTTTGATGTAGATTTCTCATCATCGAATAAAATTACCATGGTACATGTGCTGATTTACCAGCTTCAATAGATGAAATACTTGCAATACTATTTGGAACCCAAACAGATGGTACAGAATTCATGCCGCCACCATTTTCAAAATTTAATACACTTAAATTTGGTATATGATTAGAACCAGATGTAAGTGGTGCAACAGCAGCATCTTTTGTTGCTGTTAAATGATGAAATGATGCAGCAGCACCAGTACGATGTATATTTGCATATTTTGATGCTTCATGTTCAGTACGTTGTATTTCAGCTGCAGCTGCACGTGCCGAACTAAAATAAAAGTCAATTTATTAAATTGTAAATATTAAATTTTAATTTTACTTTTGCAAGGCTTGGGCAGCATTTGCTTCTTTAAGAGCTGCAATTTTTTGTTGATGAGCAACATTCGCTTTTGCGGCTGCAAGTCTCTGTTGCGCCAATACAACAGCTTGGGCTGCAGCAGCTATAATGTAAAATTAAAAAAAAAATCATATAACAAATATTTAATAATTTTTCAAATTTATAAGTAAAAAAATCTTTTGTATAAAATATAAAAAAGTACCAGCTTCCGATCGTTGAATAGCAGCAGCTGCTTCACTCTTTTGTGTTAAAAGGGAAGCTGTAGCTTCTTTTTCCATTGCAATTCGTTGTTGATTTAATACATTTTCTTTGGCAGCTTGTACTTGCTGTTTTATTCATAATAAAAGAAATTATAACAAAATTTAATTAAATAAAATATTTTATTTTCAGACTATTTTCTTACCTGTTGTGCTATTAAAACGTTTGCGGATGCTTGCTTTGCCTGTTATAAGTAAAATTTTATTATTTTCAATGGCATCACAGTACAGAAGAAATTTAAATAAATTATTATAGTTACCTGAGATATAGCTCCAGCTACTTGTGCGGGAGAGGGTGCCACATGAACAGATGGACTAAAATCAAATTTTTAAAATAAAGTATGCACTTTAAAGCTATAAATAAAAAATTCTACAAAATTACAGTTTGTATAGATTAATTACTATTAATGTACACCGAACTTAACGTCCCACATTTAATTAAATTTTTTCTTTTAAAGATACTCATCCACACCCAGCCATGACTTATTGCAACCCTCTCGTATGCCATACGTGAGCTTAAGACTGAGAAAGTCCCGCCCAGACATTTGAACCTTCTGCCGGGCAGAAAAGAACAATCACACAAAATACGTATGACCGTCTGCTCATGGCCGTGGCAGAGCCTATACAAAGGAGAGTCTGATTTTTTCCAGTTTGTGCAAGTGATATTACACCAGGCAGTGCCCAGAGAAGAAAACTAGTAATAGCACGACCCCGATTTCGAATCATCCCCAACAGTTCTGAAGAGTATATTTTGAGCAGATAGAATTAACAGCTTCGCTAGTATAGTACGTAATAAAAACTAGTGCACATTATTTATAATAGTACTTAATTTAAATCTCAGTAAATCTCTAATCATTTAAAAATATCATGCTTTATAAGCTTGTTCATTTTTTCTTCGTCTTATTTTTTTGTAAATAAAAATTAAACAAATTTTAAAAAATACATACTTTGCCCATGGTGCCAAAGGGTAACCAGGTGAAAATTTTATTCCATCAATTGGCAATACAGAATATTCATCACCGTATAAAGCGATTCCACGTTTTTTTACTGATTTGTTAATTGATAATGTTTTTGTAGATGATGATGATGGTATCGTTTGAGAAGACGATGATACAAATGGTGATGATCCAAAAACTAAGTTTGTCATGCACATTGTGAAAATCAAAGCAAACTAAAAAAAATAAGAAAATAATTAAAATAAATAATAAAAAGGAAATAAAAACAAAAAAAATAATAAAAGTATAAAGCGAATGAAAAACAAAAATAAAAAAAGAATCCTTTAAAGAAAAATTTTCACCTTCAAGGAAAACATTTTTCTTTTTGTAGTTTAGTTTTTTTCAATTTAAACTTTTGTATTCGATGAGATCGACAAGATAACTGATGCCTTCTGGTCAAAATCTTATACCTTTTTATACCAGAAATTTTACGGAAAAAAATTTGTTTTCAAAAGTTTTTCTTTTTTAAATTTCCTAATTTTTTATTATGATTTTTGTTTTCTCTTTCAAAATTATTTGGTATTTCCTTTAAAAAAGAAAATATTTTCCCTTTTGTTTGTTGTTTTATTTTTTATTCTTCATTCATTTCATTCAAAAGACCTTAACAAGATTATGTCAACATTTCAATATTTCAAAAAAGAAAAAAAAATTTTGCAATTGAAAGTAAATTTAAAATTAAAAAATAAGGAAAAATAATTTTTACATCTCAAAAAACAGCAAAACCATTTTCTTAGTTTACATACATACATATAAATTTTTATAAAAGTATCCTATATACTCGTATGTACTCGTATGTAGGTTTTCGAATGCAATGTTAAACTGCGGAATTTCCAAGTAAACGCGCATAAATGCAGATTTAACATTAATTCAATTTATTCAGCTACATAATTTTTATTGCTGAATAAATTTACATTTGCATTTTACCAGTAGTCAGAAAAATGGATTTGTTGCCTGATGTATAAAGGTTATATAACGGTATAAATAATATTAAGCAATGAAAATTGATTTTCTGAATAAGGTAAATTGACATAGGCATTTGAAATGAAAGAATTAATTACGATAACACCCACTGCGGCGCCGTTCCGTCAATAAAAAAATATTTTTACGACTATATGGTCTTAAAAATAAACAGACAGGCCGAAACTATTTTTTAATTATAATAAAGAAAAATCTTTTCAGATTTAAAATATTAAAAATGCACTTTTTATATAAACTACAAATATATGTGTGTAGCTTTAACATTTTTGCAAGTATTTTAAATTAAATTTATACTTTCTAAAGATATTGGAAAAATTTTTAATCAGTCTTATTAAACTTAGTTGAGTGGGAAATTTTACTCCAAGAAAAAATTGTTCTCTTTATTTTGAAAATTGCAAGTATTGGGATTTTGTTCAAAAAGCTAAAAGAAGCATTTGGAAATTTTCCTGAAAAAGTAAAAGATTGCAATATTTCAAAAGAAAAAAAAATTTGCAATTTTTTTACTTACTTTGAAGAATTTTTGAAACAACATACTTAATTCGAAGTTTGTTCACTTATTGCAAAATGTCATATAATTCTCACATGTACATAGCATTTTGGCGTAACAATTTTTTCATGATAAAATCCATAATGTTGACGGCCACTGTCATATCATTAAAAATATTTCTTTGAATTTTTATTTTACACTTACAAATTTAGCAAATCTACTAAATTAAATTAATTTTTTTCTTGTTTTTTAACGATAGTATCGCAATTAGAAAAAACATTTACCTTTCATCAATTCAATCTCTTGTCCCTATATTATTTCATAATTCTTCTTAATCCAATTTGAAATATAGCAGCATAACTTAATCCAATCCAATATGAAATAGCAATACATAGTACAGATGAACTATCTATCATTAAAAAATATTAATGTAACACAGATAAAATTTATTAAACAAAACTACAAAAGAAAAACAAAATTTAACACTCTTTAGTCGCGTAACTCCAATTATACTTCACGTAATAATAATTGGATGCCATCGATTTAAAAATGAAAAGAATGAGACAAAAAAAAGTTAATATAGGAAATGTACTATGAAAAATACATTTCTTATATACTTTACTTTAATAGCAAAAATGAGAGATATAATAATAGATTTAAGAATTATTTTTTGTTTAAAAAAGTAATATTAATAAAATTATAAAAGTATAATACGCCACCCTGTTATTAACTTAATTTTATGTACATACATACATAATAATATGTATCTTCCACTACCAATGTATAATGTAATACTCCGTGCAATACTGTTAAAATAATTTGAGCAAACTGGTGATGAATCTATAAAGCACGTTATATTTTAGTGAATCAAATGTTTTAAAAAAGGTTGATTTGAGAAAAGTGAAAAAATATCAAAATTGGGTTAGACATACCATCAAAGTGTCCATTGAATATTGTATTATGTAAAAACTAATTTGTATACTACACATAATTAAAAGCACTATTAAATAATCAATTTTTCGACAACAAAATAGAAAAAATAATTGCATATTTGCAATCATTCGCTAGAGACACTATTATGTACAAACATAATATGTATGTACTGCATAGAATAAAAATGCTGTCAAATATTTGTTGAATTATTATACATATATGTATATATGTACGAGTCCATTTGTAAGTAGGAATTTAGGTTTAAAATCTGACATAACCTTTTTATTATTATTCCGAGAAAATTGAATAGTAGATTAAAAACAAGAATAATTTTCTAATCAACAATAACACCTGAAAAAAGTGTTTTGCATTTCAAAATGATTCAATTCCACTTTTACATAGCTCAGAGATTCTAATGAATCAGGAGTACAAAATCTCATCATACAATTTTCCCATGTTCCTTTGTGAATCAAGGCAAAATACTTTAACATCTCTCCTCTTTGCGATTCACACAGCAAACTAAAAGTTAAAAAAAACTTAAGAATTTTTTAAAGTACAATATATTTTTTTATACTTTCGCCCCATCTATTGTAAAAATACACAGTCATCTCTATTTATTCTCACAGCTGATGACATTAATTTTAAAATCCCGCCAAAAGTTATCCAACTCCATATGTGTTGCAATTGAATTTCTTAGGCTTTTAAATTTTGACAATTACAAACTTTTTAGTTAAGAACAAAATAAAATAAATTCACAATAGTTTTGATTCTGAAATAAATTTCAACAAAAGTTTTTGAGAAATAAATATGTCTTTTTATCTTTATCTGTGAAAGAATTACATTATAATTACATATGATATATGTATAGTTGGCAACGCTACACAGTTCAACAAGTTAATTATTTTGGTATAGTAGTATATTAAATCGAATCATGAATATAATGTTGCTCAATAAATTTTGAAAGTTCAATATTAAGTTTGAATAAATTCAATATATGTATGTATTTTTATTTTCCTAACTCAATTTAGGTGGATCAACATGTTGAACCCTGTATGGCTAACATATGCTTTATTACTCCACTAATGCTATTCGTATAAATTTTTTAGAAAGGAATACAATTAAATTGAAAAAAAAAAGAATTATTTATTATGATTTTATACATCATAATTTTTTTTGTTAACAAAGCTAATCCACAAAAATGACAAAATAACTCTTGGTATTATAAAAATCAATTAGCAAATTCGAAAAATTGACTAACTTGTTCAATAATAATAATTTGCGAACATACTGATATGAAATACAAAGTAACAATATAAAATATTTACAATAATTTTATATTGTAACTTTGTATTTCATTTTTTCATATTGTGAACTTGTAAAAATCTAAATAATTCAGAATTTCAAACAGCTGATTTGACAACTTGTTAATTAAATGTCAAACAAAATAATTTTTGATATGAACAGTTGTGTGATTTGTGTTGTTCTTGTTTGTTTGAGTCGCGAAACGCGATTTCAAATTTTTTTTGTATAGAAATTCTTTTATTTTCTTATTTTAAAACGGGAAAAAAAAGAAAATATTCTTGCTAATGTACAATATTGAAAAAATATTCCAATACATTTAAAAATATTAATATATACAAAAATACGTTTTGTTGGAAAATTTAAAAGAAAAAAAAATTAAATGATTAAGAGAACTTAGAAGAAAAAATATTTAAATACAAAAATTTAATAAATTTCAAAACTGCCTAAAATATAATATCAACCATAAGCTATTCACTGTTTGATTAATCTCTGTCTGTAAAGCTTCAAATTCTTAAGTTGTTAAAATAAAAAGTAAGTAAATTTGTAAGTGATTTTTTCTTAAGGCTTATAATTAGCATTCTATTCTTACTTATATACAATGTATAATATATGTAGATATGTGTACAATGTGATACAATTTTCAAGGACATTAAAATAGGTTTTTAATAATATTTTTTTTATATTAAAAGTTTTACCAAATTTTTAATCCTTCTAGGGAAAATTCTGTAGAAAGAGAAATGTAATTTATATAGGCAACTAAACTCATCTGTGAATCATCTGTGAATTAAATATGAACTGAAATTTTAAAATATGAATACAAAATCATGTAAAAATTTTTTTAAAAATATGTATTAATATAACACATATTAAAAAATTGTCAATCCACTTGGTTAGACAAGGTTATTCGAGGTTGTTCGAATATATGGAACAATTTTATGATTACATAATAAAAATTGTGTATTGATTTAATTTTCGCATGGAATATTATTACGTAGCACTACTTAAATACATATGTACGAACTATTTGTATAAAATATAGGTAATATCTATAAAAAAAAAACATTGTCTGTTCTATACTACAGATAGTTATTGTTATTACATACATATGCACATAATAAAGGAGATTTTACGTTTGCAAGTTTTTAGCTACATATTTACCTGTTAAAATTTTACAAAACAAGAAAAACAAGACATAATTATGGATGTAGCTAGGTTAGCGAGTGGGTATAGGAACTTTTACATAGTTACACTTTAAATTTATTGTAAAGATTTATAGATTTAAATTAAATAAGTAGGTACCTACCTACTTAGTTAAGTATTTAATTCTAATTTCAGCTATATACAGTTATAGAATTTCTTATTATTTATTTGCCTAGGTAGGACTCGTAGGCACTTAGGTGGGAATATTTGATAGGATTTACCATGCATCTTTTATCTTACATACATTTATGATGTGTACACAATGTTCGACAATGCTAATTATATTATTAAGAATACTACCACTCATCAGTTTATCAAATTTGTTGAAGTAGTCAATTTATTGTAAAAAATTACCCCATGAAAAATTTTTTAAAAAACTTTTGTTTTTTTTTTTTTAAATTGTTAAAGCTTTCATTTTAATACCATTTTACTGATAATAAATTTTATGTTGAACATGTAACTATGTATGTGCAGTAACTTTAGTTCTTATTCACGTAGGTACCCAAATTATCTACATAATTTTATAAATATAAGCGTATTTATATACGTATATGTACGCTTATGTATGTATTAAGCAAATTTAATAAATATGTATATCTTGTGTCAATAAATTGCAGTTTTTTATTACCTAAAAAAAATTAAATAAATCGCTTTTGTTTTAAAATTCAACAAAATATTTTATAAGTGAATCATGTAAACTTGAACATAACCAAATCTAATTAGTTATTTAAGTATAATTTTTTAATATTTAAAACAGATAGGAAAACTAAATATAATACGATTTAAATAGTAGGTTGTTATGTAAGTATATACTAGGAATACTTAAAAATTTTGTACTCATATGTTTATTTTTCAATATAGAATTTAGTAATCAATTCATATACTTATATACACTAGTGGCCAGTTAAAAAAGACACCCTATATAAAATAAATCACTAACAAATGTAGGCATAGTACCAATTTCTATATTATGAGCACTTCAAAGTACGCTACAGTGGTGTCTTATTTAACTAGTACATAATATTCATAAATAAGTACATATGGTACTTTTTAAATACTTAATAGCAAAAATCCAAAATTATACTACGAATTCTTTCACTTATCTTAATTGAAAATTACCTAATTAATATCATTTAATAAAATTCTTTCTCCTAATATCAATTACTTAAACATAAGTATATTCATAATTTTAGATTATATAACTTAAAACATGTGAATTTTTTTTATGATAACACAAATTATGAGCAAATAATAACAAAATTAATTTTCTTATCACAATTTATAAACGAAAAAATAAATAACAAAAGAGCTTTAAACTCTTAATTCTTAATAAAATGTAATAAAAGAATATAATTATCAATTATTATTTGATAACTGAGACTACAATGTTTACTTTTATCTCAAATTCGATACTATTGTTGTGTAGCTGAAGTGGTAAATTGTGTGTATAAAATACAAATAGCTATATATATTAAATATTTTCAGGAATACCATTATCGCTTTTGGCTTTGCTTTTTTTTCAAGTTATTATCACTAGAATAAAGCTGGTTTGAACGGCATTTTTTTCTCTTAGAACAAATAAACTTGAAATACTCGCTTTTATATTTTTCTTATTTTAATTTGAATAACCGCGTAAATATTTAATATGCATTTCTTTATATTTATTGGAAATTTTAGATACGAAAAAAGTTTTGAATATTTTGCTTTTTCCTCTATTAAATTTTATTTTGTATTTACGAAGAATTTACCAAGACAAATTTTTCTGAAATATAATATAATATAAGTATACCTCAAGATTTTTTATTCAATTTTAATGAATAACTAAAAGGAAAAAATATATATTTTATGAATGTTTCTAACATTTATATAAAAATATTTAAAAACTCATTTATTAATTGGTAAAAGTATTTATTCACTTCCTGTATTGGCTTTCTTCCGAAAAACTATTAAAATTTTATTCAAAAATCAATCTTTTTAACCATTTAATTTATTTAATAAATTTAGACTCAGTGAAAATATCTGAGTCTAATGACTCTATTTCACTAAATAAATGAGTGCATAGTGTTCCGATATTATTTCCGTATGGTTGGCTTATTCAGTGCAAATAATATAAATTTAATTAATATTTAAATGAAAGCATTGTTGATATATGTATGTATAAACAACTAAACATAATGTACATAATGTAGGCATTTAAATACATATTCTTTTTCTGTTTTTGTTAATAAATTAAATTAGTAAGATTAAGATCTTTATTTGTTTGTAAACAGCTTTATAATATAAAAATAAAAATACTTAATTAAAATTTTTTGTCTAACAAAAAGGAATTACGAAACAAATTTTGAAATTTTCAATTGAAGTTTGGTTATAAATACAATAAGCAATAAGCATATTTAAATATTTTGTGATATAAAATTAAATAATAGCTAAATAACGATTTAAAATACATTAAAAATGCAATAATAAATCTATTGTCACACTAAAAATATATGAAAAATAGATAACAGCAAATTATTTGCAAAATTTAAATAAAAATAATTAAAGATTCTGCAATTTAGTTTTTTAATTTATTCTTTATAATTTATTAATTAAAATTATCTTAATTTCAGAAAAACTTTAAAAAATGGCAAATCAATCGCAACAAGCTCCTTCACAACCTACACAACAGTTTGCGTAAGTTCAAACAAAATGTTTTTATTTACTCTTAGTTTCATATCTTAAGTATAATGCTCTTTATGCATTACATGCCTTTCCAAATTAGAAGTGTTTGGTAGTAAATGTAAATAAATACCCAAAATAATCTAAAGTAGAAAAAATTTTACATAAAAAAAAACAACAATGAATCCAAAACTTTGTATGTATGTATTTTTGTGTTATTTAAAATTTACATTGTAATAATTAAAATGTTATTTGTTCCTGAAATATTATAAAATAAATAAAATTATAAAAAAGAAAAACATCATAAAGGATCTTCTTTTCTTCAAATTGTAGACCATCTCAAATGATCGAATATCAATATAAGAAAAGATTACAAGTAATTCCTGGAACGAAACTAGATGAAAAAGCAATCAATAAACTAGAGATATTTAAAATTTCATCTACATTAAAATTTATTCAGAGCGATATAAGATTTTTGGTCAATCTTTTAAAAGTATCGGAAGCTGATATTGATGTGATAAAAACTGAATTACTGAAAGACAACACACCAAAATTAATTAGCGCCTGTGAAATTTATAAAAGTAATAAAAATTTTATTTATTTAAGTACCGGAATCCCAAACCTTGATGAAATTTTAAATGGTGGTCTATCTAATAATGGCTATATATTAGAAATTTGTGGAATATCAGGTGTTGGAAAATCATTTTTATCTATAACAATTGCTCTTAATTTTGCCATAAAGCATAATGTAGAAACAATTTTTATTGATACAAAACATGATATAACTGGGAAAAGATTTTACAATATATTAAAAACTAGAAAAATTCATGAAAATCAAATTAAAAAAATTATGAATAAAATTAAAATTGAAAGAGCTTTCAAACCGAATGAATTTCTTAAAACTATAAAAAATATTCCAGATTATGCTAAAAAAACATCAAAATTCAAATTATTAATAATTGATTCATTACCAGCATTATATTTTTTATTTCATAATGATAATGTAACAATAAGAGAAATATTTCTAAGTGAAATAGCAAATATAATAAATAAATTGCGTTATGAATATAAAATTATAATTATCATTATTAATATTGTAACGAGATGGATTGAAGATATTGGCAATAGTAATAATTTATCAAAGAATATACCATTCAATTTTTCACAAGGACGTGAAAAAATTGTTAGTGAAACACCATCATTAGGTCAATATTGGTGTACAATACCATCAACACGTATTCAAATGGATTTTGTTATAAAAAATATAAATGATAATAATTTGGAATTGACATGTAAACCGGAACACATATTTTCATCAAAAAGGATATTAAATAAAAGAGGTCTAAAAATAATCAAAAGTAATACATTAGAAACTGGAAAATTTACAATAATTGAAGTATCTGATAGTGGTTTTTAGCAATATAAATTAAATATTATTTAAATAATGAAATTTATTACTAAGCTATAATTTTTTAAAAATAATTTATTAATTTATTAGAATTAATGTTTAAGTATTAATGATCTACTGTTCATACTGATCATATAATATTTATTAGTTAAAAAATAAACTTATGTTCCAGTACTAATTAATTTAATCAATTATTAAAAAACTTAAGTTTTTCCTTGTAATAAATGTTTGTATAACTTATAAAATTCCAGAAATTTGATCTATGCAAAGTTTATTTAAATTGTTTAATAAGTTCATATTTTATATGTTAAGCTTAAAATAATTTTTTGTAAATTAAATTAAATTTCAAGCTAGAAAAAATTAATGAAAATTTTAATTTAATACAACCTTATAAACATTTCAAAATTAATTTCTTTTTTACTTACTTAATTCAAACCAATTTTCTCGTTTTCTGAATATAACTGGTATATTTACAGTACATTTATTGTACGTTCAGTTTAACAAACTTTTTTAGAATAACATATTCAGAAAACAAATCTATCTAATTATTAAAGTAAATAAACATTGGCTTAGATCATAATTAAATGAAATAATTTTCTAGCACATAAAATTATATTTAACATTAATAATTTGAAATTTATAAGTATAATTACTTATTATATCAATATAGCAACAACATAAAGTAAATTTGTTATCACTTAAGTTATCTAATTAAATGTTCTAATTTTATTATCAATAGTTTTTCAAATATATATATATGAACATAAGCTGGAAAAAGTATATAAATTTATAGCTTATAAGTTAAATGACAACCAATCGTTAATTATAATTGTTTTCCTCATAGCGGATTAAAGTTATTAACAAAATTTATTTATTTTATAGAAAGTTTTGTTTATAAAAATTATTGTATATTTTACTTTCTTCAAGTATTAGTACTGATATGGAAAATATATGTACCTATAAAATATTATGTACGCATATAGATTTTAGCAAATTTATTATTAAAAGTAATCTACAATTATTGTTAAATTTATGTCATAATCACACATAGAATAAAAAATATGTCTATATAGTCATATAGTAATTATAAACCCTTTAGTTTTGTTTTTGTGAAATTTTCGATTTTTTATAAAAATGATAAAACAAGGGAATCTCACATTTAATAAAATTGTTTTTTTATTAAATGTGAGATATAAATTATATTATTTAAATATCAATTGAACAAAGTATTCAAAATTATACAGTATTCTTATTCAAATTTTATTTTAGTCAATTACTTTCATTTATTAACATTTCCTTACATTTTTCTAACAACTATTTTGATCATAATTTGTATTTAATATTGTGTTTAGTTCATTATATTGCATAACATAATAAAAAATTCATATTGAAACAACAAATTTATGGATTTTTTTCTTAAACTCTTATAATAAGCGTTTAAAATTTTTTATTATATAAAAACAAATTCATTATCATTCTGATCAAATATTAAAACTAATTTGGTATGCTGAATCTTTCAATGTGATCGTAAATTTTTAAAATCGTGTTATTGATTAAAAGACATATGGGTTATACGAGTATAAAATTATTTTTTTTGAAATTTAGTCAAAAATATTTATATAAAATTTCAAAATTAAATCTTAATCAATTTTCATATTGTAATATGTATATAATTTGAAAGATAACAAAAAGAACTCAAATTTAGAAAAAATTAAAAGACAAACAAATATAATTATGTATTACACATAGTTTATTCGGATTATTTGTACTACAAAGCTTTTTATTGAAATTAAATTGATTTGTAAATAAAAATATAAAAAATTATGCAAAAACAATATGTCTATTTCACAAACATATGTTTATAAAATTTATTGATTTCTTTTATTTTTATACATACATAAATATAATATAAAAATGATTCTGTATATTGGCGCTACGTTATTTTGACCTTAAAATCATTTAATAACAAGTAGAAATTAATTATTTCTATTTTAGTATTCTTAATACATTTCTGTATTTTAAATTTATCATTGTCTTCATATTTTTATGAAATATTTAATCAGAACCGGATAAATTTATTTATTTACCAAAGTATACGTGCACATATTGCAAACAATTCTCAATTGAATAAATTAAAATAAGAGTAAATTAGAAAAAAAAAATCTTTTACTTTTTTTTCCAAATCATTAAAAGATTCAATGACATACTATTAAAAAATACGGTATGAATGTAATAATAGTTTTCTTAAAATACAAAATTTCGTTAATATTTTTTTTTACTTTAACTAAATAAAAATGAAAAGCCATGACTTTGACATTGACATAGAAAATCTATTAAAACAAGAAAATTTTCTTTTAATTTTACTTTCTACACATAATATATACGATATATACAAACGTTTTTATTTACATATATCTTTTTTTCCGCGGTCAACAGATAACATGGTGCCAAAAAGGAGAAAAATAAAAAAATAAACATAAATTTTTGTTGATAAACGCCACCTTTCACTAATTAGTGATGCTTTACGAATGTAAAAAATTTCTTTAGTAATTTCAAAAATTTTCAATTTGCTTAGGTACATAGATATTTATTTATACTCTGTTGTTTATCAGTAAATAAAAATATGTAAAAAAATATATTCTTATATACCCATAAGTTAAAATACTGTTAAAATATTCTGTTAATTTACTGTTATTATTATCATTACAGTATTTTGAAATATATAATATTATAATGTATTCTGTAAACATATTTATTATAGACAAAACGTAATTCTATAAAAAATATTTTAAATTATGTTACAATAATTAAAACTAACATTGAAATTTGTTGATTTTCTAACAAATTTCACACGAACTTCCATTTCACTTATGTAATTGGATTTATTTCAAACCTTTCTTTTCACCCATACCCTTTTTAATAATATTATTTTTTATTCAAAAATTTACATATTTATAAATTTAATATTTCACATCAAAAATATTAAAATATTTTTATATTTGTTGACAATATTAAGTTTCTAAAAAAAAAAGTATAATATCTATTATTTAACTAGATTTTCTTGACTCTTTTAATTAACAAGTTTTTTAGAAAATTAAAACTTTTGATTTTTTCATAAGCACTTTTATTAATCAGTTTTTTAATCTATTAGCACTATAAATAAACGTACTAAAAACGAAAAAAAAAAACCATTTTTTATGAATTTAAAATATTCAATTAGCATCAACAATTCATAATTTAAAATATAAATTTAAAAAAAAAATTAATTTTATATAAAAATTATTTACTTATTTATATTTTTAGGTTAGTACCAAAAATTATCAATGGTGGAATAGCTGGTATTATTGGTGTTTCATGTGTTTTTCCATTGGATTTAGTTAAAACCCGCTTACAAAATCAACAAGTTGGTCCAAATGGGGAAAAAATGTATAAAAGCATGTAAGTGTAGTACAAAGAAAAAACATCGAATTTAATCAAATTGGCGTCATTATTTCGTGATTTCCCCTAAGATACTAAAGAGCATGAATTCTCCTCTTCATCTTCTTTATAAGACACTTATCGTTTTTACAATGCAAGTTGTTTTTTTTTTCATTGATAATAGGTAATGAAAAAATAAGTAATTATATTCGACTGATTAATGTAAAAACTGGTTTGTTGATCTAATTATTACAACTTTGTTATATTTTAAAAGAAATTCCCATCTTAATTTTTACAAAAACGTAACACATGTCTGCATAATTTTTAGTTTATATCGTTGCAGAATAAAATTTATAGAATAATTTCATTAGTATTCAAGTTATTCTAAAACATTAGAACATTAGAATCGTTATATGTCATACACTATGCTTTGCGATTTTGTACTAAAATAATATAAATAATACATATATAAATAAAACTATCTATATTTCTCGTGAGTGTTGAACTGCATTAAAATCTATTAAAAAACACCACTCTACCAAATTAAATAAATATGAAATAAATGCTAATATTTTTTTTTCTTGTTAATATTTAAAATATAAAAATAGAATCATATAAAATTTTAAAAAAATCAGAATATTTAGAAGGTAAAGAAATAAAGAGTAAACAACGAAAATTGGCTACGCATCCAAATACCATTTCTAATTCGATATATAAATTTTGATACAATTCATAAATATATTTATATATGAAAATTTCAATGTGTACAAAGCATTAATATATAACATATATATATATATATATATATATGTTATTTTCATATAATATATGAAAATAACATAAATATATATGAAATGTGTACAAAACATATTTATATAAGATCTTACATGTATAGCAATTTTATTTTGTTACGTAATTTAATAGCAAACCCACATCCCTAAAACAAACAATCATGAATTACAACCATTCCATTATATTTAATAGCATTACATTATTCTAGACAATATAGTTGTGTTTTATAGACAATGGACATAATTGGGTTAAATTTTTGACTTGCCATTTATTAGTATTTCATTCAAACAGTACGAAACATAATTCCTAAATTATAAAGATTATTTAACATTCGTATATTGGAATTTTTTATTACACTGTTTTTTTAATTAAAAGTAGTGTAATCAAATTTACTAATATCTTAATTTTCAAGGTTTGATTGCTTTAAAAAAACATACCGAGCTGAAGGTTATTTTGGCATGTACCGTGGTTCAGCGGTAAATATACTATTAATTACACCAGAAAAAGCAATTAAATTGGCTGCCAATGATTTTTTCCGTCATCATTTAACAACAAAAGATGGTAAATTACCAGTAACCAGGCAAATGGCAGCCGGAGGCTTAGCTGGTCTCTTCCAAATTATTGTAACGACACCTATGGAATTATTAAAAATCCAAATGCAAGACGCTGGACGTGTTGCAGCTCAAGCAAAAGCTGAAGGTAAAGTTATACCAAAAACATCAGCAACCCAAATTGCCACTCAGCTTTTACGTGAAAAAGGGTTATTTGGTTTATACAAAGGCTTAAATGCAACGATGCTACGTGATGTTTCATTTTCAGTTGTATACTTTCCACTATTTGCTTTCCTAAATAGTCTTGGTCCACGAAAGAATGACGGTTCCGGTGAAGCTGTATTTTGGTAAATTCAAATATTTAACATCTTTTTAAATCTACTTCCATTTCACAAATTATTAATATGTCAAAAATAATTTCAGGTGTTCGTTTATAAGTGGTTGTGCTGCTGGTTCAACGGCAGCCCTCGTCGTAAATCCATTTGATGTAGTCAAAACTAGATTACAAGCTTTGAAAAAGGCAAAGGGTGAAAAGGAGTTTTCAGGAATTTTAGATTGTTTCTAGTAAGTATAAATTTTGAGTTTTTTAAATAAACATACATAAAAAGATAAATATCTAATTTGATATTTTAGTAAAACACTTAGATATGAAGGTCCAACGGCATTCTTTAAAGGTGGTCTCTGCCGTATGATTGTAATCGCTCCATTATTTGGAATAGCACAAATGGTTTACTTTTTGGGTGTAGCAGAAGCTATTTTAGGAATTAATAAAGCTAAATAAATTAATGAATTTCCAATAGATAAATTAAGAAAAAAACCGGAAAATGAAAAGAATTATTCAATATAGAAAAATGTATAAAAAGTTAGCACAATTAAAATACAAGGGCTTTTATCATCTCTGCCCCCTTTATAGTAAATAGCCAAAATTAAAAAATATATGAAGCCAATAAAAAGAAAAAACTACAGAAAAACAAATTAAGTCTAATGAATTTTATTTTAATGAGTAACTTACTTATGTATTATGAATTTCGAAATTTTATGCAAATAAGATTTGCAAATGTTTAAATATTCTAATATTAAATAAACCTAGTAAAAATTTAAATGTGAAAATAAAATTAAAACATTATTGTATTTTGATGTCTTATTTTATCCATACGCTTTTTTTACTTTACTAATAATTAAAGCAAATAATAATACATTATGGCGGAATTTCACATTTTTGTAAATGAAAAATATATTCTCTGTTTATATGTAAAGGAAATTTAAAAAATAAAGCGTAATACGCTCTAAAAGATGGCTTGTTACAAATAATTTAATTTTATTACATAATTTTAAATTTTTAAGGCTTCTTTATATTGCATTTAAATAAACTTATGAGGTAAAAACATTGTTGTTATGATTTTTATTAATATATTAATTATTATTAAAATTGTTTTTATTGAAAAGTTTTTATTCTTTCAATTAGATATAAAAAAAATATATTTGTCAGACCTTCTTGTTCTAATCACTATCAAAAAAACAAAAATATTAAAATATTTCGATTAAAATTATGTATTCCACAAAACGACTTAATACTAAAAATTCTCTGATTATATTATCAAAAGAATTTTGTTATAAAAATAATAAACTTAAAAAGCAATGTTTTTCAATAAACAGCACACTAGCGCTCGTTCTTTAAAATATTTACAAACGTGATTATATTATATATGAAATTTTGTATTAAATTATAACAATTCAATGTTTTTCCAAATTTTTTCTTTAATCATTGTACTCGTATTTAAATCAAAATTTCGTGCAGTTATTGTTTATTCAATACAATTTTACTTTATAATTAATTTGTTAATTACATGTTGTTTGTTAAGGTATCACTTATTTAGCTGTTCAAAATGTAAAATTTAAATTAAAATTCTTGAAATGAAGAATTTGTTGCATATATATGTATGTGTAACATAAAAAGAGCAAAGTACTGAATAAGCATCTCACATTCCGAAATATATTCATCCTTTTAAAGAATATAAAAAATCCTACATATACATAGTGGCAAAAAGCTTAAAAAATTGGTGTTGAATAGCAATAAATAAATTAAACTAATATTATACAATTTTTTGACAATAAAATATGATGAGGTTGACTAAAATGCAAAGAAAATCAAAAATTAATCCTGTACTATAACTTAACTTTGATTTATAAAATTCAATGTAATAAATTATTTATAATAATGACAATAATATATAAAGAAAATTAAGAGCATAATATTTCAAATATCGCTATATTATCTAAGGTACATTTGTAAAAAAAAATTCAGATGGAATTGAAACATACAAATAAATATAAATTAAAAATAATTAAAAAAAAATATTTTCAAATACTAAAAAATAATTTATGCAAATCAACAGTACCTATAGTAATCATGAAATTTTTAAATTTTTGTGTGTATATCAATTAAATATAAAATAAGGTAAAGATTTCGGCCTAATAATTTTATTTTAAAATTAAATAATGAAATTTCTACAAAAGTTATTTTTAACAAGAAATTTTGATATTAGTATAAATATGGAATGCTCTGAATGCTTTTTTCTATTACTATTTTCTATTACTATTCTATTAATTATTAAATAAAAAAAATTATCGAAATAATAAAATTTGAAAATCGGCCTCACGCTAATAAAACATTTCTTAATATTTAGTTTTTCAAAATAAAATACATATATACACACATATGCATGTATGTATATTATGTAAAAGAATTGTAAAAAAATATTTTTATGATTTCATTTGTTAGACACAAGACAATAATTTTTAAATTCACAAATTTTTGATAATGTAAGTACTTACAAATTACAAGTAATATATTAAATAAAATGTTATCAATAAGCTCTAACTACTAAACATATCTTAATACATAATACATGCATACATTACATAAAAATACATACATTTTACTCATTCGCCTTATTATACGAACAAAAGTAATAAATACTTGCGTTTAATAAAATTATATATTTACAAACTTTTAAGTTCAGATCAGGGTATGATAAGAGCGCATCGGTATACCAAACTAATATTTATTTTGCAGAAATTAAATAATAATAAGCATGTTTCAATTTAAAATATTGTTTATTATGAGCAGAATTTTTCAACTATATGGGAGAAAAATAAATTTTCCTTATGATAAAAATCTGCTGTTAGACGTTTGTCCTTTTAACTATTAAGTTCTGTTTCATTTTTGTGATAGACTCCGTATAAAAATGAAAAAACTAAACAAAAACAAGAAAAGACATAAAAATTATTTATGATTAGTTCGCTAGATTTTTATGTAATTGAGTTCGAAATTCTCTATTCTATTTAAATTCACTAACCGGGGTTTTAAAAGCAAAAATATCAATTTTTGACATTATAACTTAAGTGAATTTAAAAAAATTTTTGGGCAATATTTTTTTATTAAATTAATTTTTTTTATATTATATAAAATAAGCAAATAAAGGTAAAATTAAAAATTAAAAATACATATATAATTAAAAAATTATAAAGGGTTAAATTGATCACAATTTTTAATATTGTGTACAAAAGGCTGCCGTTCGCTAATTCCAACGAGATTGAAAATAATGTAGACAAAAACAGACAGTAGAGTTACAACATAAATCAATATGCGTCATAATATAAAGAAAATATTTTAGAAAGCTATAAGATTATGACTGTTATGTTTTGAAATGTAAAATTCTGCTGATATTAATAACCGCAATTAAACGGTTTAAAAATTTTACGCTGCTTATTCAGAGTACATCTTAAACAGAAATAAAAAAAAATACTAATAAAAATAAAAGAAAATGTACACACTAGAAATTCTATCAAAAATTTTTATATTAACTATTTATTATAAAAAAATATGAAGATGCTTAATTAGTAAATTCATACACAGTTATTCAAAATTTATTTGAACTAAAAGTTGAAATAGAAAAAAAATTAATAAAACAGGAATTTACATTAACCATAAAGCCAACAAAATATATATTTTCATCACAAATTATATTAATCTTATAATTGAGATTTATAATACCTACAAGAATATCAAAGAAATTGTAAAATCATGTTTTTTATATAAATGTATTTAAAAATTAAGTCAATTAAAATATTCAAAGAGAAATTATAAACTCATAATGATGACCAAAAATCATAAAATTTAATTTTTTTTTAAATAAAATAAGCAATATAATTGAAAAAATATTATAGAAAAATTTTCATAATTAAAAATTGCAATTTAAATGATACAAGATATTATAATTTAACTGTAAAAAATTTAAATAAATGTGAATTATTGGCTTCTATATGTAGAATTCAGTTCATAACAACTAAAATACCTAATCTACCTGTTTATAAGATGTAAAGTTTTTTCCAAATTACCAGTTATTTAACTATATATGTGTGTGACATAATATGCACACACATATCATATTATCATAGTTTTTGATTTAAACAAATATCGTTTGTGATCATATATAAAAAGAAATATACAAAATTTAAATGTATAAATTGATGAAACAAAAACAAAATTGAATTTTAATTTAAGTATAGTGAAACATTGCAATAACAGAATGGCAGTCAAAGTTAACTGCTATCCTGAAAATGTTTTTCTGCCTGAACATTTTTGAATACTTTTTTTTTGTAAACGGTAAATTGTAGAAGTCTGAAATTTTGCAGCTTTTAAACTATAATAAATACATAATTTATTTCGGTAGAAGAAAATGTTTTTCCCACCATCACTCCCGCCCAAGATATAGCCTCTCGAAATTCTTAAAAATTGAATTTTCCACGCTTTATGTTCGGGAAACTAAAAACTTTTCCAAATTTCTATAAAAGCACAAAGTTAAAGATGAATGTCATTAAACCATACATCAAATTTATCTTAACTCACTTAATTAACTATCAAATTCAACCATATGCTTTTTTTTAATTTTTTTTTTTTTGTCATCCTAACTATATGCAATTATTTGAAATATTTTGAATTATGAATGAAAATAATTTCATTTATTTGATCCAACTTTATTTTAATTTATTTTGTTATTCTATAAAGGATAAATATTATTAAAACGAATTAAAACAATGTTGTCCGTACTATACTTAAGAAAAGAGAGTGAATTCACGTTTGCAGCTTTAACTGTGAAACTCAAAACTGCACTGCAATAGAACTACTAAAGCAACGCTACCAACAATATTGTGTAATATATATAATATCTCTCTACTCCTCAATAATTGGCTCTTTTCTCTATTAATTGAATTTATGTATGTGAAAGATGAAAAAAACTATCATTTTGAAAGAAAATCTTTTGACATTGCAGTTCTTTGTTAGAACTACAAACGTGAATTCAACCAAGGATGCTTACTTCTCCTAATAGGTAATAATCGGAAACTTAAAACTAAAGAAACAAGATGCTATAAGTTCTTGATCTAATAACATATTGCAAGCCGTCCTTGTACCTTGTAAATAAATTCACTTAAAATTTCTAACAATATTCTTTATTTATTCAACATTTTGTATATATTTATAAAAGTTTCTCCAGAAAATTTATTTGCGGCCAGGAGGACGATTAAATTTAAATTTCACTCCTTTAGCAGTCATTTTATATTTAACGGGAGCTAGAAATATATAAAAATATAAAAAAAAATTATGTGTGCACAAATATATTGCTTTCTTTTTATTATCAGAACTAACCCGGAGGATCATCAGCAAGCTCTGCAACAGGAAATGTGAAAGCAAAGATTAAAAGCAAAAATATTAGAATCCTCATTATTACTAACTTTTTTTTTTAGATATGCTATACTTTTAAAACTCGAATTTGCACTAAAATTATTGTAAAAAACATCGGTTTTATACGCTTTTTCGAAATTAACTGTATACTTACATCAATATTATAGGCATTGTCTTGTATTATTTGTCTAATATAACACTCAACTTAACATACTATGCTAGTATAAATAACAGTTTAAAATGTCAATTCTATTGTGCCAAATTTCAATTTAATAAAATATATGATTTTGTATTTAAAATTGTATAAATTATAATATTCACATTTTAAGTTCGTTATTTAAACATATTTAACTATTCCAATTTTACAAATGTACATATTATATTTAAATAACTTTTAAAAATATCTATACATAAATGTATTTACATTTAAAGTAGGACATTCAAATATTATTTTTATCATAAACATATTTTTCTTTTAAAAGTCATTGGCTTCTATAATTTAGTAGGAACATTCCATATGCTAATTTGTTTATACATAATATAGTTGTATTGTTTATACATAATATGTCTGTACAAATACGGTATTATTGGTTGGCGAAATATAGTTAAGACAGTTTAACAAGAGCCACAAGAAATTTAAAACATGGACACAAAAGAATTTTACGGACGTGAACTCCGATGATGGTATACAAATAAAAAAACCGGTATATGTTAACCCTTCTATAATAATGTTAAATTAAGAACAAATTCTTTATTATTAAAACACACCATACACATATTACAAAAACACAAATATTACAATCTCAAGAATATATTCAATACACAGCCATAAAGGTTGTCCAAACTGTTGCAATAAATACCAGTAAAAATTTATAAAATATTACATTGTAGTCAAAATATCCAAACAGTTCATCAGCTTCAGCATCAGCTACAAAGTAAGAAGAACGAAAAATTGAAGCACTAACATCTCTCCCAACCGTTATAATTGATTCACAATTTTAAATTTTAATAACTAGAAGTACTATTTTTAAGAAAATAATCAACAGTATTTTTAAAAATATTATTTTTTTTAAATTTTATTCATACGAGGCATTTGACTTTTAATTAGCCATTTAACTTTTGTAAGAAATCGGATATCATCATCAAGACTTTTACTGCGGCTCAAAATTACCTTTTCAGCATATATAAAAAGAAATAATCATCAAATTTCCTTGAAATTTAATATTTGGTTGTTAAAACAAAAATATATTAAAACTTGTATATATTTCTTGTCAATATAGGGGGTCGGCAACAAAGCTAGGGACTGATTTTACATTTTTTATCATATCTAAAGAACTAATTAACGAAATTTCTTGAAATTTAATATTTGAGTTCTAATTGTTGAGATTATTAGGGATGACATAAATTGAATCTCCTATAAAAGGCAACTTAATATATTTTTAGTCATGTGAATTAAAAGCTTACTAGCGTTCTTAAAATTTTATAGGAATATTTAAAAGGCATTTTCATTTTTGCAATTTGAAACGTACATAATATTGTAAATAAAGCTTTTGATATACAATATCGGAACTTCATTACTAAAACGTTTTTTTAACAAACGACTGTGCAGTAACTTGAAAAATCATGGTTTGGTCCAAATTTATTTAAGCTTATTTCATTACGCTAAGGACAGCTATGTATGTACATTGCATAATTCAAAATTGATTACAAGATCATGTTTCATATTAGAATTTAGCTCCTCATTTATATAACGTACATTTTTAATTTTACTTAACCTTATACTTATGTTAAATTATAAATAACACAAAACTCCTGCTTGATTTAGCCAAATGCATTAGAAATAGTTATTTATAAAAAATCTGTGCCATTCAATCCTTCTACTTGATGAAGAGCATTCGAATCACTCAAAGTGCTCAAACTATAGTTTCACAAAGCAAACAATATAATGTACCTATATATGTATGTTAAACCCTTTCAAAAGCTTCAATAAATTCAAAGTAATTTATTTACTATTTATTTACTAAGTAAGGTAGTAGACTTTAATAAATTAATGTTTATTTAATCTGGTTTATATAAATGAAACATATGTATGTGAAATATGTATGAGGTTATAAAAGTTTTATTGCCTCAAAATTTAGCAAAACACTTTATTTATTTTCATTGTTAATTTTTATTTTTTTTTTTTTGGAAATTTTCCTTCAAAGTCGATAAATATTGCAAAATGCTTAAAATCAATGCAATTTTCTATACTGATCGTTATTGCGATCAAAATAAATTTGTGAACCGCAGAAGTTCCTCATTTAGCAAGCACCCCGAACGTTTTTGCCAAATCACTAACTGAATGCCATATTTTATTAGCCCAACATTAGTTATTTATTTAGTTTCTTGTTATTTTAAATTATTTATTATAAATTTGCTCATTTCAATAAAATTGTCGTATTTTAACATTTGTACAAATAATGCCGAAATAAATTTTGTACCAAATTTACTCATATATATATGTATATATGTACAAATAAAATAGCTAAAATAAAATATGACATAATTCTTTATTTACCCCTCGTTAGTAGTTCAGAACTACCTTTCAACATTAAATATTAGACACGTATTATCTAGTTTATAAAATTTTACTTTAATTGCGTCGTTATTGCAATAGTGCGGCGAGTTTTTCTAGCACATATTTCATTAGCTCTTCTCGTACAGGTTTAGTCATCGAAAACATAAGCACACCAAATTAATCGTAGAGAACAAGGAAGATAAAATTATAATTCTAAAATTTTTTGTAACAATTATGAAAAAATGAAATTTTATTTTGTCTGCAATATTGAAATCTGCATTAGAAATCTAGTCGCATGTTAGAAAATTAATACGGGTTATTACCTAAATGAAATTAGAACAAGTAAAAACGTTTCAGTCTGTATTGAATTATACCCTGAACCTTTGGTTGTTGTATACCAATTACTCGAACTTGTGAAATAATTCTATAGAAACTTTACGGATATTTCTGACCTATAACTGGATACACGACTGTCAAGCTTCATGAATCTGCTTTATTATTTTTCCAAATATTTAAAATGAACTTTTAGACTTGTATGGGAGCTACTCGAACCTGTCAAGCAATTCAACCAAGACTTCAGAAATATATCTGACCTATAATTGGACACATGACTACGAAGTTTCGTAAATCTGACTTTATTATTTTTCTGAATGTAAAAAATTTGCTTTTGGAGTTGCATGGCAGCCACCCGAACCGGTGCAACTATCCCATTTTAAAATTTTAAGAGCATGTATACAATATAATTGGACATATGTGTACAAAATTTTATATTTATACCTTTTTTAGTTTTTGAAATATTTAAAATAAACTCTTTGAGTTGTATGGCAGCTACCCGAACCCGTTGTCCGAATAAGTCCAATTACAATGGACTTCGTCCTTGGTACAAAAGAAACAATTTGTGTTTCTTTTGTAAGTTTTTGCATTATTCGTTTTTGAGTTATCGAGCGATTGGACGGACGAACATGTCTAAAACAAAGCAGAATTTTACGATGAGTAACAATATATATATACATGAGCATATACGGCAGACGACTCCTTGAAGTGGTGACAAACTCCGTAAGAAAATTAATACACCTTGCAGGAAAGGTGCAGGGTACAAAAAGGATAAACCTAATTACATTTAACGACTAAGAAAAAGTTGAAATCCATTGAAATAGAAGATAATATGCTTTCAGGACAAGCTCCAAGCATCAAATTGCAAGGTTTAAGATACGTGGATATTTTTAAATTAAAAAT